AACAACAACAACAAATGGCCAGAGAAAGAAATGTTATCACAAGCTGCAATAAGAAAAGCAAAATATTCAAATAAAATTTATGGATCTTACTCAACACTGGGAGTAATAGACACATTTCAAAAAGTCACATTCAAGAGGTCATAGTTCTGGAAGAGAAAACCCAAAAAGGTAAAAAGGCTTGCAATGATGTCACAGGTGTAACAAGTGGAGAACAGAGATACAGTGCAGATGGGGAGGTGGGTGCAATAGAACATGATAGTAGCTTTCAAAAACTTGAAAGGCTAGCAAGTGGAAAGAAGAGTAGTCTTATTGTCTATGCTGTTGTTGTTGTTAGGTGTCATCGAGTCAGTTCGGACTCATAGCAACCCTACAAAACACTGCCCAGTCCTGCACCATCCTCACAGTGATTGTCGTGTTTGAGCCCATTGTTCCAGCCACTGTGTCAGTCCATCTCATTGAAGGTCTTCCTCTTTGTGCTGGTGCTCTACTTTACCAAGCATCATGTCCTTCTCCAGGAACTGACCACCTAATAACATGTCCAAAGTATGAGAGACAAAGTCTTGACATCCTGGCTTCTAAGGAGCATTCTGGTTGTACTTCTTCCAACACAAATGTTTGTTCTTCTGGCAGTCGATGGTATATTTAACATTCTTTGAAAACACCATAATTCAAAGGCATCATTTCTTCTTTGGTATTCCTTATTCATTGTCCAGATTTAGCATGCATGTGAGGTGACTGAGGATACCATGACTTGGGTCAGATGAACCTTCATCTTCAAAGTTACATCTTTGCTTCTTAACACTTTAAAAGAGATCTTTGAAAGCAGATTTGCCTAATGTTTGATTTCTTGACTGTTGCTGCCATGGGCATTGATTGTGGATCCAAGTAAAATCAAATCCTTGACAACTTTAATGCTTTTTCTGTTTATCATTATGTTGCTTATTAGTTCAGTCGTGAGGATTTTGTTTTCTTTATCCTGAGGTGTAATCCATAGTGGAGAATGTAGTCTTTGATCTTCATTAGTAAGTGCTTTATGTCCTCTCCACTTTTAGCAAGTAAAATTGTGTGATCTGCATATTACAGGTTGTTATCTTTAGCAAAAGATAATTCAACATATGATATTAATTATATTGTTCAATAATATAATATTAATGATATTGTTCAAGAGCAATGCTGTTGTTGTTGTTAGGTGCCATCGAGTCGGTACCGACTCATAGTGACCTTATGCACAGCAGAATGAAACACTGCCCAATCCTGGGCCAGCTTCACTACTGTTGCCACGCTTGAGTCCATCCATGCTGGACTCCATCTCATTGGGGGCCTTCTTCTTCTTTTTTTTTTTTTAAACCAAACGTGATATGCTTCTCCAGTGACTGGTCCCTCCTGACAATATGTCTGAAGTATGAGAGATGAAGTTTGGCCATTTTGGCCTCCAAGGAGAACTCTGGCTGCACTTCTTCCTAAACGGATCTATTGGTTCTTTTGGCAGCCCATGGCACTTTCAACATTCTTCTCCAACACCATAACTCAAAAGCATCAATTATTTTACTGTCTTCCTTATTCACTGTCCAGCTTTTGCATGCATATGAGGTTATTGAAAATACCATGGCTTGGGTCAGGCACACCTTAGTCCTCAAGTTGACATCTTTGCACTTCAACACTTTAAAAAGTTCTTAAGAAGGTCCGGAAGAGCAGGAAGGGTGGGAGCTGTTGCAGCCTTAGCTCTACATCCAAGAGCAAACAGCGACTCACTCCAAGTTTATTGCTGAGTCAATAAGGGCAGCAGGAGGGTCTCAGAATTGACTTTGGGGAGAGGTAAGGATGACAGGACTTCTCTCCAATCCAATTTTCCATTCAGTTCAGGACAGATTTATCCTAAAATGAAGATGGGCTTGAAGTAGACACTGTTGACGGCCCTTGGAAGATTCCTCATATGGATTCAGATAATTTCCGCTGGATTTAAAAAGGAATATCAATGTTGACTATCTCTCTTAAACCTTGGCATGCACAGAGAAGGACTGTATTTTTGTTCTTTGTAATTTGGATCCACAGCCACCTCCCGATACTCTCAGGTTGATCTGAGAATGTGAGGACAGAGTGAAGCCTCTAGCCCCTGTATACTTTCCCTCCTTACAGCCCTCTCTCCATTCAGTCCCAGAATAGTGCTCTCTTCCTTCTTGAAGCCCTTTCCCCTCTTGAGAGTTATCCATCCGGCCCCAGAAGGCATCCCTGCCACAAGGAGTGCCAACAGCCAGCAGTCCAAAGGAAGGAAGAAAGGCACCATCCCACCCGCCTGGAATTCTCTAGTGAGTTGGGGAGAAGAGCATTTGAGATCTGGTTTCAGCCCTTGCTCTTACCATCTGTTTGACCTTGAACAAGTTACTCAGAAAAATTTGAAAGCAGTCAGCAAATTGCAGTTTGGTCCGCCCTCCCTGCCTCCGCATAGCTTTGTTCTACTAATGGTATTTTGTAAATTTCTACTTATTTCCCCAGTGCCCTTCCTCAAGACGTTGTCTCAAATATCTTGGTCACAAGGAGACTACTTGGTCTTCTGGTCAGTGGAAGTTCAAGCTCACTGAGAATTAGCCATTTCTTGGCTAGCATTTATCCCCACATCAGCTCCTATTTCACTGTATCCTGATTTCAATGTGCCCTTTTTTACAGAATAATTTACCAATTTCTCTAGGACCATGTTTTTCAACCCAGTTATTTATATATAGCTAAAGTAGAGTCCTGGTGGAGTGCAGTAGTATAAGCATTGAGCTGTTAATCACAGGGTTGGCGGTTCAAACCCATCAAGTGCTCCTCAGAAACCCTATACAAGGTCTCCATGAGTCAGAACCAATTAGCAGAACTTAACAACAACAATGTAGAGAAAACAAAGATCAGAAAACCTTGGCACTCTGACCATTAGCAATCTCTGAAGGCTTTATGCATTCCTTGGACTTTAGGGGTAGGTCATAAAAATGCCAATTTTTAGTCAGATGACACCCAACAGAAATCTTGGCTATCCATGAATACATTTCTGGGTTACTTTACTTTAAGATTACTAAATTATCCCAATAATTTAGTAATAAACATTCATTCAACTAATAATAATTGAAAGTAATAAACATTCATTCAACTAATAAGTCCTGACTGAACATGCATTAGGCCAGCTATAGCTCCATGGTTCCTCTTCAAGAAATTCAGAGTCTGGTGCTCCATATGACAAGTTCAACAGATCATTCTCTTACAGGATGACAGGGCAGTGACAGAAGGAAGATCACACAGCAACCTAGGCCCAGAAGTAGAGTTTCTGCTCTTCCTGGGAGTGTTGGGAAAGACTTGAAGAAAGGCATTCTTGGGAGAGAACTTATCTCTTTGAATGCAATTTTGTAATGCAATTATTTGGGGAAGTAGAAGAAATGGTGAAGAGCTCAAATGCTAAAATCCACTGCAATCAGTTGTCTGGTTTGCATCCAGATTCTTCTGTTTACAAGCTGTGTGCCTTTGGGCACATTTCTTACCCTCTCTACTCAAGTTTCCTGTCTGTAAACTGGGGGAAATGGTAAGATTTGCCTCATAGGGAGCCCTAGGGATACAATGACTGAATTCTGCAGCTCCTCAAAGAGTTGGTGATTCAAACCCACCCAGTGTTTCTGCAGGAGAAAGACTTACCTGCTCCTATAAAGTGGTGATGGTGGTGGTGTGCCGTGGAGTTGGATCCGACTCACAGTGACTCTGTATGGGGTTTCCAAGGATGTCAGTCTTTATGGAAGCAGAAAGCCTCATCTCTCTCTCACCAAACAGCTGAATTTGAACTGTTGATCTTGAGGTTTGCAGCCCAACATGTAACCCCGCATGCCACCAGGCCTCCTCCTTATAAAGATATGTTGTTTTTGTTGATGTTAGTGCTATCAAGTCAGTTCTGACTCGTAACCCTGTATAGGGTTTTCAAGAAAGCAGCTGGTGGGTTTGAACTACCAACCTGTGCTGATCTTGCAGTACCACACCTGTAAACATGACAGCCTGGGAAATCCTCGGGGCAATTCTACTCTGTCACATGGAGTTGCTATGAGTTGAAACAGACTCTGTGGCACCTAATAACAACCACCACCTCCTGTGTTATTTGAAAGTTTTAATGAGCTAAAGCATATGAAGTAATCGGCACTTAATAAGTGTTTAACTACATAGCTATTAAGGTAGAATGAATAATAGCTTGGAACGTATCTAAAATTGAGAACAGAAAAAGAATATTTATAATTCTCTACTTCAGAATAAGGATCTCTGGTAGCGTAGTGGTTATGAATTGGGCTGCGAACCTCAAGGTCAGCAGTTCGAAACTACCAGCTGTTCTGTGGGAGAAAGATGAGGCTTTCTGCTCCCGTAAAGATTTACAGCTCGGAAACTCTGTGCAGGGTCACTATGAGTTGGAACCTACTCCACGGCACATAACCACCACCACTTCAGAATACCTGTTAGAATTGTTTCTATGTTCTCATACAATTTTTATGCACCTTTTTACATGTAAAACATAATGCACGTACAGTTTTATATATTTTTCCATTTAATATCAGTGTTTTAATGTCACAACATAGCTTTTGTATTTATTGCTTACAATGACTGTATTGTTGTGTGTGTTATTGTTAAGTGCTGTCAAGTTGGTTCTGACTCAAAGTGATCCTGTATTGCTTTCCAAGGGATGGCTGGTGGGCTTGAACTGCAGACCTTGTGGTTAGCGGTCCAATGCTTATCCTACAGCATCACACCAAGACCTTGTAATGGTTATTCGGTAGACAATAAAAGGACACCCCATAATATAGCCAGCCCTCTTCCTACTAATAAATATTTAGGCTTCCAGTTTTTCAGTACTATGAATAAAGGCTTGAGGCACACTGGTGACGCTGTAAGGTAAACACTGAACTGTTTACCACAAGGTGGGTTGTTGGGAGAAATATGAGACTTTCTGCTCCTATAAAGATTTACAGCCTCAGAATCCCTATACAAGGTCACTATGAGTTGGAATCAACTTGTTGGCACCTAAAACAACAACAATGTAAGTACTTAATTAAACATATTTGTTTTGTGATTTTTCTTTTTCTGTCTTATAGATTATTTCCATGGGATAGTTCTTAAATATCTAATTAGGTCAAAGTGTTGAGTACTTTTATGCTTTTCCTTTTAAAAAGCATATTGCTAAATTTCTTCTTAAAAGTGTTGCACCTGTTTAATCCAACTAGAAAAGCCTGAGAAAACTGGTATCATTTTCTTACCATTTGCTGTTGTTTGAATTTCTTTCATTACTATGAATTTGCCCCGCTTACTCATTTCTGAACTCGACCTTTCTTTCATGCTTTCCACTTGTATCCGTTTTCTCCTTACAGATGGATGTCTTCATGTTTTGAACATGTCCTTCACTCATTGTTGTGGCCTGTACCTTGTCTTTCTGTTTAGCTGGGTAGTAGCTAGTAGTACAGTGTGGTAGTTTTGATAACAGTATCTAGAGCAGGGCTCTCTATCCAAACCTCACTGCCGCTGTCTAAGTGTGTGACTGTAGACAAGTAATGTATCTGTAAACGGGAATGTGATTAGCAGCTGCTTCTCTGATTGCTCTGGTCAGAACACAGTCTGGCATAGTGTCCTCATCCTGCGTACGCACGTTATCACTAGATTTATTTTTAACAAGAGGAGGTGATCTCTGAGGTGGGCAGCTAGACTGAGAAGAAGCTAAATCCCCTGCACATTTTCTCCCTCTCCAGGTAATGGCCACCACGTTCCTCCTCATGATTGTCTTTGCCATTTTTGACTCCAGAAACTTGGGGGTCCCCAAAGGCCTAGAGCCTATTGTCATTGGCCTCCTGATTATTGTCATCTCTTCCTCTTTGGGACTGAACAGTGGCTGTGCCATGAACCCTGCTCGAGACCTGAGTCCCAGACTCTTCACTGCTTTGGCAGGATGGGGGTCTGATGTCTTCACGTAAGTAACACAGGAGGGGAAGGGGAGAGAAGGAGGCCTGCTGTGCCTTACTGGGGAGGGTTGTGCTTTAACTCGGAGAACCAGAAGAGTTTATGGGTATGGAAAGTGATTAAGTACATACTATGGTCACAAGTAGAACAATTTTACTGGTGTTTTATTTTCTGTGCATGTGAATTTGTAAGAGAGAGAAAGACAAAGACAAAGATGGACAGACAGAGAGGAAATGAGTGAAAGAGAGAGAACAAGTGAGTGATAGATAGTTGGCTCCAGACCAGTAGGTCGGTGCCATGTAATAATCATAATCCCTCAGTTATTACACAGTGTTAGGGGACTATTGTGGTCATATAACTCATCTACTCATTCTCTTCATGGCAAGGTTGGGACTGGAATGCATATCTTCAGATACTAGACTGGACTCCTCCTAGTACAGTGACCTACGGTTTGTCTAATCACTCATTCATTCAGTGAGGCTTTGTGGAAATGATCGATGCTGTGGTCACTGTACTTGGCAAGGAAAACTCGAGATCAAAGGAAACCTAGTCTCAGTAGTGTACTAAGTGCTCTGAGAGCTCTCAGTCCAAGTGCTGGAGGAGAGACTGAGTCTGTGGAGCTGGGAAAAGCATCACTGAAGAAGCAAGAGCTGAGAGATTCCTGGCCCAGCAGCATGAAAGTGAGCTCATGCACAGGAAGCCACCGCAGACCCCCAGCTTTCTACCTCAGACCAAACAGAAGACACAGCCCTGTGATGGTTCCAATCCCCCAGGACAGACTCCCCCATTCTTCCCTTCCCACTCTTCTCCCCTAAAAGTCACAGTGGTCCAGGCCATCTGCTCAGCACAACTCCCTATGAGAAAAGGAACTCATTTGGGTTCATCAAGAAGAGTTAATATGTTCCAATGGGGGTGAAGAAAGAGAAGGAGGAAAAAACACATGTAAGCAAATTTTAGCTTAATGTTTACAGGGAGAACAAAAGACTTGTTGTTGTTGTTGTTAAGTGCCATCGAGTCAGTTCTGACCCATAGCGACCCTGTACAGGGTTTCTGAGGCTATAAATCTTTACGGGAGCAGAAAGCCTCATCTTTCTCCCACGGAACAGCTGGTAGTTTCAAACTGCTGACCTTAAGGTTTGCAGCCCAGTTCGTAACCACTATGCTACCAGAGCTCCTTGTGGCCCTAAACACTGCCCTGTGCAGACACATGTGATAACTGAGTAAGAGTTTGAGTTGCCCTTCACCATCTTGGAAAAAAAATGACTCAGTTCTCTGCATCATCCAGAACTTCCAGAGTGTAAGCACCATGGAGACAGGGCCTGTGACAGCTTGTTCATTGCTGTCTCCACAGATCCTAGTACAGGGTCTGGCACAGAGAGAAGACTTAATAAAAATTTATTAAATAAAGGAATGTACAAATGCTAAGTGCATGGTCCAGGCAGGTCCTAGGAGGTGAGGGATTCAAAGAGAATTAAACAGCATTCCTTATTCTCAAGGAATTGACTATCCAATTAATTGTCTAGAGCAGTAGTTCCCAATCACAGATGATTTTGCTCCACATGGTACATTTGGTAATATCTAGAGATTTTTTTGTTTTATTGCTACAACTAGGGGTTGCTAAACATCCCAGAGTGCTTGGGACAGATCCTTAAAACACAAAGTTATCCATAGTCAATAGTACCAAGCTTGAGAAGCTCTGGACTGGCATGATAATTACTAGACTATGTAAAGGTTCAATAAAATGTCCTCAGTTAAGTAGGCCTTCTTATACTCTTCCAATAGAGCATCAAAACGTTTGCCCCAAAGATCTGCGTGTTCACAGAACCAGAACTAGCCTATGAGCTTCTTTTAATCATACCTGTGAACGTCTTGTTTTAGGAAGCTACTTCCCAATCACCTTGGGAATACCCACGATGTTCTGGTCCCCCTCTGAGCCCATCTTGGCGACTCATTCATAGCCCTAAGTGATGGTGGTTCCAAAATTGATAAAGATGCTGTCTGTTCTTTGATTTCTTAAGTAGATGGGAGAAGAATCCATGACTATCAGAGAAGACAGGGTCACCTAATGCCAAACCCTAGCCTGCATTGGTAACCCTGGCCCTCATCATCATTAGGGACTTTCCCCTTCATGTATTCATTGATTCATTCATGCAGCTACCTTATTTTTGTTCAAGGTCACTTGATAAAGGTGATAAAGATCCAGTTGCTGTTCTTTGGTTTATTTATGATTTTATGGGAGGGGGTAACATAGACTCTTACACAAAGTTGAATTTGCCAAGTGCAGTTAAAGAGGTTTGGTTAATAACTCTAGGAGTTGAGAGAAGACAAATAGCTCTAGTTTCAGGAATCATGGCAGTAGCCTTTGGATATGCCTAACTTGGGCAAAGAGAACCTTGTGTACAGAGACAAAAATGTTAAAATAGGAACTTATCTGGTCTAACTGGCAAAGTGTGTGAAAAAGATGGAAAAGGACAGCTGTTATCAGATCGTGGAGGAACTGGATCCCTAGAATAAAATGTTGGGATTTGTTGCTCCTCATTCTGTAGGCTATTGGGAGAAGCAAAGAATTTGGGCCTGAAGTTTGACATAGTAACATAACATGCTTCACTTCAGCGAAAACCACTCTACAGAAGAGTGGAGCAGAAACCAGGTTGAGAAGACTGAGCTCACTGGTAATCCTTACTCAGAAGGTCTCAAAGAACCCTTCAGGGGAAGCAGGTACCCAAAGTGCTCTTGGAATGCTCCTTGTTCTCAGGGTTCTGCATCAAGCACCTCAGCGGATACCCTAGCTTGGATCTCCAGCAAGGTCTCAGGTAAAAACAAGGCAGTTTCATCCTCAGCTTCTCACTGTCTCTGTGTGGCAAGCAGTGGAGGATGACCAGGGAAGGGGAACCCAGGAGATCAACAAAGCCTGACTTACTCTTTCTTTCCCTTTAAATATCAAGATGTTTCTCTCTGCTAATTCACTTTAAACTGTCAGTGACTTCGGGGATGAAGTTATCTCGGGAGCATCATTAATTTTTAGAATTAGTTTACCGAGAAGAACTAATTTCTAATGATCATACGTAAGAAAATGGACACAAATATCCCTGGCATCCGTCAAATCATAACCTGCAAATGCCCACTACCCTGTGGGCACATAAGATGGACCCCAGGCTAGTAACCACACCTGACAACTTGGAACCTTCAGCACAAGGACTTGAGCTCTGTAAAACGAAGAGGGTTCAGTGAAAGGAGGACATCTGTCTTCACAGGCATTTTGGGTCTCAATCTGTTAAATAACACTAAGAGAGTCACCATAAAATATGATGACGTGTTAGCCATTCACTGTTTATCTCAAAGATGAGTCCTAGATTTGGGAGCTTTGGGAAGGGAGCTGCACCTTCCGCTTTACCATGCGGTAAGAGTGACATCTGGTGGTTGTGGTGCACAATCACAGTGCTATGCCATCTCAAACTTATGAGAGTGTGTGGTGCCGTAGGATAAGCACTGGACTGCTAAATGCAAGGTCAGCAGTTCAAATTCACCACCACTCCTTGGAAACCCCATACAGGGTTGTCATGAGTTGGAACCAACTTGATGGCACTTAGCAACAACAATGGGGTTATTCAAAGTGGCGCAAACTGTTAATGTGCTCAGCTGCTAAATGGAAGGCTAGAGGTTCAAGTCCACCTAGAGGAACCTCAGAAGGTAGGTCTGGTCATCTGCTTCCAAGAAATCAGTCATTGAAACTCCTTTGGAGCACAGTTCTACTCTAACACAACTGGATCAGGCAGCAACTGGTTAGGGTCATCCAGGGAGGAGGGACAGGGCAGATGGAGGAACTGAGCTCAGAGGGAGATGCCTTGCCCAGCAAACTTCTAGGTGCTCCTGCGATTAGAACTAGGTCTCAGGAATTCTAGGGCAGGGTCACTTGGTATCCTTTCTTACCAAACAATCAAAATTTGATTGAAAAAATGGGTAACATGGAACATATATATAATTATAAAGCACAATGATAAAAAGAATGGCTAAGAATCCTTCCCCCAGCCAGGACACGGTCAGCTCCTCACATCTACCAGTGCACTCCTTTACTCCCCATGCTCAGCATTCTCCTGATATTCGTGTTTATCGTTCTCTGCATTTTAAAAATAGAGTGAACTCAAATATAAATGTCATTAAACATTACACTGTATAGCTTTGCTTGTTCCTGAGCATTCAGGGTTTTTCATACTGAAATATTTAAATGTATTTCCCCTCCCCTAAAACAAAACAAACTATGGGGACAATCCAGTAAGACATTGTGTTTTCTCTAGAACCCCACCTCTTTCTGGAAGAGAGTGAACCAGGACATAAAAGACTGAGGATAACTTTGAGTTGTGACTCAAAAGTGAGCACTGATTTTTTGGGTAGCTCACATATACATTTCCCCCACCCCCTCCCAATCTATTCATTCTTGTCACAAACATTTCCATTTTTCTTTTTTTGTGTGATATTCCTCTTACACTTATGATCCCAGGAATCTTTCCACATCCCATGTCTCTCCTTTTCATTCACAATTCCCAGGCAGTGTTATCTCAGGCTGTTGTTCTTGTTAAGTGCTGTCAAGTCATCTCTGACTCACAGCGACCCTGTATAGGGTTTCCGAGGAGCAACAGGTGGGTTTGAATGGCCAACCTTGTGGTTAACAATCCAGTGCTTATCTTACAATTCCACACCAGGACTCCAGATGAGGGACAGGTGATTCCTGATTCACTGACCTGAACTTTTCCTAAGTCGTGACCATGATTTCAGGGGCCCTAGTTTCTAAAAAGGAGCTGTGGTAGCGAAGTGGTAATCGGGCTGGTAATCTCATGGTCAGCAGTTCAAAACTACCAGCTGTTCCGCAGGAGAAAGATAAGGCTTTCTGCTCCCGTAAAGATTACAGCCTCGGAAACCCTGTGCAGGGTCACTATGAGTTGGAACCGACTCCGCGGCACATAACAACAACACAAACTAATTTTCTAAAAGGAAGAGAAGTGGGACTTACTGTCTCAGCAGCCCTATTAAGGCAATGGGGAAGATCATCTGAGTCCAGGACGATACTGGGAAATCTCAGATGGTGGCTGCCAAGTTCCAGAATGCCCTTTTACTTAATTCTTGTTGACTGAAAAGGAGCTGTGAGCCTGAGAAAAGCTACCTGGCAGTGACAATAACACCAGGGGGAAGGTGAGTGATATATTCATAATTTCTTGTTTGATTTCAGAGCTGGAAATAACTTCTGGTGGATTCCTGTGGTGGGCCCTATGGTTGGTGCGGTCATTGGAGGACTCATCTATGTTCTTATCATTGAAATCCATCACCCAGACCCGGATGCAGGTTTCCAGACAGAATCATCAGAGGACAAACCAGAGAAATATGAACTTAGTGTTATAATGTAGTAGCCGGCTCACTTCTTGATTTGCAACCGATTGAACTGGAAATCTCTTCCGGAAGGATGGCATTTAAGGGTCTGTGTTTTCATGAGTCTTCCCATTGTTGGAATCTTCCCATTGTTTTCTGCTAATTGTGTGGGACACCTCATTGGAAAGGCATCAGAGTGAAGTTTGACATCACTGACCTCAGAACAGCTCTGATTGTCCACAGGCACAGCCTGCCTTCCCATCCTTTTCTCTCTCTTCCCTTTGATAGGGATCCTTATTATGGATTAGCACTGATAGTAGCTTGGAAACTTGACCATGGACTTCACTGGATGGTCTGAGTTCTATTACCTGTATGAAATAGTGCCACCAAAAGCCTGTTTTCAATGTTCACTAAGGTTACATTCTGAGTACCAACTAAAATCTAAATTGAAAGATAAACGATGGTTTCAGGTAACACATCCATGAATTAGGAAGCTAATGGATTAACTCCCTACTTACGTTGTGCCACTGTATTTATGGAAACACGGATTTTCTCAAACATAGGGATGCAGGAAGCAGCAGCAATAGAAAACCCAGGAGAAGCACATCATGGCACTCAGAAATCTCAGGAGACCTTATAAACTGGCGACTCCAAAGAGAGTTTTTTAAAGGACACTATTTGTCAGATCAATCTCTTATTCTCTTGAATTTTAGATGACGCTAAATTAATTTTCCAGTCCTTAATATAGAATAGCCTAAAACAGAATCATAACTTAGGTCATGAAGAATGTATCACATTGTCTTTTTAGCTCAAATGCATTTTCCTATTTGCCCACGTGAGGATAGTCATTGTTAAGTTAAGTCAGTGACTACACTCATCCAGGCTCTAGACACAAAAATAAACACTATGGCATCCTGATCTAACTGAATCCTCAGGATAGAAGTCCCTGTTATTGTGATTGTTGTGAAGTAGCATCAAGTTGGTTCTGACTCATAGTGACCCTGTATAGGGTTTCTGAGGAGTGGCTGGTGGGTTTGAACTGCCGACCTTGCAGCTCAAACTGACCTCACAATCTGGTGCATTAACCCACAGTGCCACATCAGAACTCCCTGGAGAGATAATATCCAGAAGTCCCTGGAAAGATAATATTATCTTAATGAGTTTTACAATTCACAAAGCACTTTCACACACATGTATTATCTAATTTAATCCTCAAGGTGACTTCTTGAGGTAAATATCATGCTGCCTAACTTTTCAAATGAGAAAGCAGAATCTCAGGGAAGCTGAGTGAGTTGTCCAAGATTACGTGGAAGGGTGAACCTTGGTCAGTGCATCCCTTTCAGAAGATCTGTGACTGGCTAAGAGTCTGTCAGCCCTTCTTGCTGGCCACAAAAAGTGGGATTCATAGTTGTTGGAACATTTATACAATTCATAGCTGTTGGAACATTTATACCTTCTAGACATAGAAAGAGCAACTTGGTGGGTTTGAACTGCTGACCTTATGGTTTGCAGTCCAGTGCTAATCCTACAGTGCCACACCAGGAGTCCTCATCATCAGGTTTTATTTCTGCTTTTACTAAATCAGTAATAAGGGGAAAGGGGGTCGCTATGGGTCAGAACCAACTCGACGGCACTTAACAACAACAACAACCCTTGTTCTTACCATGTCTAAATCTTTCTTCCTTGACAAACCCAAACATTCCATTTAGGAAATTTCTTCTTGGGCAGGCATTTCCCTGTGAAGTTCTCCAATTGATGTTGCTTTGGTCAAAAGTCTGTGAGTTACAAAGGCAAGAACATTGGACCAAACCGCCTGAGAGCCGTGGGAAATTGCTCTTCAACTGGTGCTTCTCAGCCCACTTTAAGGAGCTGGGTATTCCTAGAGACATGCAGTTCTCCAGCTGTTTCGTGACAGCTGACCAACAAAAGGCAAAAGTGAAATGCCTCCAATAGGCAAATGTTCTGCAGTCTACAGGCATATGGCTTTTTTTTTTTTTTCTTACTCTGAAAATAATTTCTGGACATTTCCTTTATGAAATAAAATCATTACTTTTTTGAATATTTATATAAGTATTAAGATTGCTGCCTACACTTAGTCCAGAAGGTGTCTACACTGTTTACAAACTAGAATCTCCTGGGGAGCTTTTAATATATACTAATGCCCAGTGGGTTCTTTGTAAATATTTCATATGACGCTAATGTGCAACCAAGGTTGAGAATGTTGACTTTGTACACATGGGTCATAGGAAATTTTGAGAACCAGATTAGTGGTGGCCAGCTAATTCCTGTTGGGATACTCATGGGGGTTCTTAACAGGGGGTGATCCTTTCTTCCTTCTAGGGGACATTTGGCAATATCTGGAAACATTTTTGATTGTCATCACTTGAGGATGGGGAGCAGGTAGTGGAACTAAAATTGAGTGGGTTGCTGTTGTTAAAGTGCCATGGAGTCAGTTACAACTCATAGTGACCCTGTATAGGGTTCTGGGTAGATGTTGCTAAACATCATACAATGTACGGGACAGTCACTGACATCAAAAAATGATCTGGCCTATCTTGATCAATAGTGTCAAGGTTGAGAGATCCTGTATTTGAAGAAAGGTAAAGAGGAGAATAAGAGAAGACATTGAAATCCTATGTCTCTCCGTAAGCTCTCCTAGGGACTGAGATGCCAAACAAACCAAGAACAGATCCTGTGGGTGAATTGCAGTTCTTAGCGATGAAACAATCCGATCTATGGTCCATCCAGGTGCTCACTGAACACCACTTGAGGATTAATGACTAAGATTATGAAGAGGAAATGTATACTTATGGAAATGAATTTCCTGAAGATATTTTTTAAAAGAAAAAAAACCCCACTTGGTCCAGGTGTTCACACACCAGTTCCTGACTTCCCTTCCCCAACCCCAACTTGTAAGAATCTGCCTGTGTCAGGTTCTCAAGTAAGAGATGTATATGAGGTTGAATTATCTGCTTCAGAAGCTGATTAGGTAGAGCCAACTAACCTATTTAATCTATTATTTGAAATAGACCTTTTGAAAGTTATAATTTTAAGTTCTACCTCCTCCTTCTTGTAAACTGAAAACTTGATAAAACATTCATCAAAATGCTCAAAATACATTTTTTTTGTACGGTTCCCCAAACTATTTGAGCTATCAGAGCATGTGAAAGGTAGTAGAACATTTCTAAGCAATAACACCAGAGTCAATATCCAGCTATTGAACAGGATACATGGAATAAAAAATGGCACATTTAAAACTCTGATCCTTAAAACTTAAGTTAATATTTCCTTTACACACACACATTTGTCTTATTTTAAAGGTTGCCAGTGCTCAAAACGATTGTGGTGAAAAGAGAATCATAGTTTCCAGCTATAAAATGGTTTGTGTATTTTATTTAGGCACAGAGTCTAGTAAGATAAAACATTCTGTGGTCTTCACAAGAAAATTGGAGCTGCTATGAATGAAGAGGGGACAGGGAGTGATCAGGAGTCTCATCCTGCTCATGAGCTCATTGTCCTCAACACCCCCAATGCAGCCCCTGCGCTGTCTCGGGAGGGAAACTGGATTGTGGAGAGGGGTCCTTTAGGGCATAGATTCATAATTTGAAAACCTGATAAAGGACGGGGCACAAGTTGTTGAACTTGATATAGCCTACTAAAGGCAACATTAATTCAACCTCCAATCATTTTCTAAAGGCTTCTT